GGAAGTGTCCAAGGTCAGGTTGGAGCAGCCTGGGATAGTGGGAGGTGTCCCTGGGCATGGCAGGGGTTGGAATGGGATGAGCTTTGAGGTCCCTCCAACCCAACCCATTCCAGGATCCTCTGGACTCATTCTCCGAAGTCCATTCCCACCACAGCAATTTCCTGACGAGGGAAAAGGGCCCAGCCCAGGACATGGTTCAAAGGAAGGCAAGAGCTGGGAACTGGGAACTCTTGGGAGGCAGCGGGAACAGTCCTGGGATGTGGCCAGGCTGGGCTGGGAACACAAGAGCCGGGTTTAAGCAAACCTGAGTCAGGCCCAGCTTGGGGAGATGCCCCAGGAGCGACCCAAGCCCTGTACTCCCTGTCTGGGATCCCTGAGCCTGTCCCAGAGCTAAAGGCTTGGATTTCCCCCCATGTTTCCATGGAAAGATGACAAGCTTTGGGCATTAATGAGGATTTAAAGACTGGGAATGTGAAGTGAAATTACTGCCGTTGGTTTTCCCAGGGTGTTGAAGGACTCCCTGGGGAGGATCTTCCCTCTCCATGCAGGGAATTCCAGGGCCTGGATTAAAACCCTCCTGGCCCAGGCCACAAACCCCCACGAGTGAAAGGAAGGCAGGACTTTTCCCATGACATTCCCAAGGAGTTTGAAATCCTTCTCCATAGCAGCAAGACCCTCTGGGTCCAGCATCCCTCAAAAATGCTGGATTTGGATTAAATAATCCCCCTGAGGCCACAGGTGTTCCCTCTGCATCCAAACTAGGCCATGAGGAACCTGTCCAGCCTATGGAGCCTGAGAACACGGAGATATTCCCAGGAGCCTGCAGGGAGAAGGATCCATGGCTCTGGAGCAGGAGGGGCTGTTCCCTGCAGAGGAGGGAGCGGAATATCCCAGAGGAAGGGAAGTGTTGGAAGATCCCGGAGCCAGCTCAGCTCTTCCCACGGGAAGGGATTTCAGCCTCCAGGACACAGAAATACAGGAACCATCCACACTGGGCACAACTTCCATGGCATCCAGTGACCCCTGTCCAGAACCTTTCCCTCTGGGAAGCTGCTCCTGGATCCCATGGGAAGGGCCCCCCACAGTGGGAGGGTCCTGGCAGAAGGAGTGGGTTGGTGTCCCTGGAATGACCCCCCCCCCAGCAGGATGATGCTCCCTCACGGAATTCCTTGCATTTCCCAGCCATCCGTGCCTGGAATCAAATCCAAGCTGGCCCTGTTGGGAGGCAGGACTGGGAATTCTGGTGGGGTCGGGGCATCCTGGTGTCCTCTCCCTGCAGGGGAAGCTCAGGGGCTGTTTTTGGACAACACTCTCCAGAGGGATTTTGGGGGGTCCCGTGAAGGGCTGGGCTGGACTCGATGATCCCTGTGGGCCCCTTCCCACTCAGGATATTCCAGGATTCCACGAGGTGAGGGAAGGAGGCTCCATCCATTCCCAGGGAAGGTGGTGGTGCTGGAGAAGGGAGAGCACAGGGAGGGGCTCCATGTTTTGGGAGCCCCCTGGGCCCTGTGGGGATCCAAGGAGAGCCAAGGGCAGCAGCAGGTGGATTTTGTGGAATTCTTTGAGAAGGAAAAACCTCCTGCCGTGGATTTGGCAACTTCCAAGGAGAAACTGTCCACCAAACCACCTGGAATTTGTGGCTCATGTAAAGTTTGTGATCCTTCCCATGGGCTCTGCTCCTCAGAACCCTGGGAGGGTTCAGAGGTGACAAAATGCCACTGGGGAAGCTCATGGAATGATGGAATGGTTAGGGTTGGAAGGGACCTGAAGATCATTCCCTGAAGATCATCCTGGCAGGGACCTAAAGATCATTCCCTAAAGCCCATCCTGGCGAGACCCCCTCGGGATGGGGGTGTCTCCAGGGGGAATGTTTGCTCAAACAGGAGGGTTTTGTCACCAGGAGCAGGGGAAGGATGGGACAGAACCTGGCCAGACCCCCCAGGCCCCTTTCCTGTCCCAGTTCAGCCCCCAGGGAGCCCCTTCCCACGGCAGCTTTCCCTCCTCCGGAGGGAAATCCCAGGAATGATGTGAAGATTTCAAGGGACAGCAGGTCAGTTGTGCCCCAGGTAAATCATCCAGTGGTTAATCCTGGAATCCCAAAATGGTTTGGGTGGGAAGGACCTTCAATCCCATCCCATCCCACCCCTGCCCCAGGCAGGGACACCTCCCACTATCCCAGGCTGCTCCAGCCTGACCTTGGACACTTCCAGGGATGGGGCATCCTCTGGGAAATCCATTCCAGGGCCTCCCCACCCTCCCAGGGAAGAATTCCTTCCCAATATCCCATCTATCCCTGCCCTCTGGCTCTTTTATGCCACCATTCCCACTTCCCAGGGTGTTCCCAATCCCAGTTCCTCTCTCTCAATGCCTTTGCCTGTGACAGGAAAGAGCCACCAACTCCCAGAAATCCCCTCTTCCCTTATCTCCTGGGGAACACTCCTTCAGCTCCAGCTCCTGGGACACCTAGAGCTCCCCTCCCAGAGCTCCCTGGGCACTTCCAGAGGGAAGGAACCAGCCCAGGCTCCCCCTTGAGCTGGTTTTCCTTCCCCTCCCAATCCAAACTGGAGGAGGATGGATGGGGTCTCCAGGTTATTGAGGGGGTCCCTGGGGAAGTTTTTAAGGGTCTTGGGGGATCCTGGGTTGTCGATGGGGGGAGTCTCTGGGTCACTGGGGGGGATCTTGGGGGGTCCTGGGGTGTCCCGGGGGTCTCCAGGTCATTGGGGAGCCACTGGGACTGTTTTGGGGTCTCCAGTGACCCCAGACCCCCGGCTGAGGTGGGAAACCCAAGAACATGGGGGGTCTTGGGGGGCCCTGGGAGGGTCTTGGGGGGCCCTGAGAAGATCCTGGGGGTCCTGGGGGTCTCGGGGGTCCCTGGAAGGGTCCTGGGGGTCTCCAGGTCATTTGAGGGGTGTTTGGGGTGGGTCGGGGGTCCCCAGTGACCCCAGACTCGTCCCCATCTGGCAGCAAAGCCCCACCGGGGGCTGCCTTGCACGGGGGGGAAATTCCCCTCCCAGAGCTGGATTTTGGGATCATTGCCATGGGCTGCTGGTCCCGCCCCCATGTCCCGTGGGATCTGCCCGATCCCGGGGGCTGATCCCAGCTCCCGGCAGTGCCAGGAATGGGATTTTTCCCTTCCCCTCCACGGGCTGCAGTTCTGCCCCTCCAGCCCCTCCCACGCCTCGACCCTCAGCCTTGGCTTTGCCTTCCAAGGCCTGGAGCTCCCGAGCTCAGGGAAAAGCTTTTCCAGGTGCCCTTCCCACCTTCCAGGCCCTGCACCCTCTGCTGGGTGTCCCTCCTGCCTGTGCCACCCCTTCCCACATCCCGAATCCCCTCCCACAGCACTCTCGGGGATCTCCCAAATCGTGTTATGTTCTAACAGGCAATTTCCTCTTTTGTCCAAAAAAACCCCAACTTTCCTCCTTTCCTCCTGATTGTGAACACTTCCCTCTCCCAGTTCCCAGCCAATTCCTCATCTTCCAACTGTTCCAAGGGAAACATGAGCACGTGCGATGCCAAAACAAAGTGTCCCCCACCCGAAAAAGTGGCTTTTCCAGAGCCAATCCTAGGGATCGGCTGCGAACCAGTGCCCTCACTGGGGTAACTGGGGTTATCCTCGCTGGGAGAACTGGGGCCACACCACAGTGCTCCCCTTCCCAGCATCTCCTGCGGCACCTGCACTTCCCCACCGGGAAATCTTCCCGGGAATCAATCCCAGCCCGTGCCAGGAGGGACGGGGCTCTGCGTGTCCCCGGCCCACGCCAGGAGCCACATTTGGAAGGAGGCGGCTGTTCCTTGTCCTGGAGCCACGGGAACATCCCAGGCATCCCGGGACCAGGCTGGGGGAGTCGCTTAACCCCTTCCCAAACCTCCAGCTATTCCTCCTGCGGTGGGAATTTCCATTCCCCACATTTCAGGGGGAGAAGGGTCACTCCAAGCTGTGCTCAAGAGGAGCCTCCTCTGTAAACTCCAGAAAGACCAGGGAAGAGCCATTTCCAAGCGATCCCAGGGCAATTCCAGCTCAGCTAACCAGCTGGAAGACCTGGGTGGCCTGGAACAGATCTGGAATTAAAGAGGGATCCACAAAATCCTCGGATCTGCTTGTGCTGCCGACACCTCTCAGCCCCAAATTCCACCTGGGACACGAAACCTGCCCGTGAGCACCCGGATAAAGAGCTGGAAAGTCACAGCCTTTCCCCCCCTGGCTCAGCCATGGAAAACTAGGGAAACCAGCTGCTTCCCAGGCTCCCACACACGATCACATCCTGAATATTCTTAGTGCAGAGGTGAAGGAATGTGCCAGGGAGTGGGATTGGATCCCACTGAGGAGGCACAACAGGAGCAGAGGGACTGGCACGAAGCTCTCCAGCTCCAAACAAGCTCCCGAGGGATTTGACCAGCGCAGGAAAGGAGATAAATGGGCCCAAATCCAAATTAAAGGATGGATTTGAAACGAACAATAACCGGGAAACAAACGGTTTGGGGCCAAACCTGCTCCTTGATTCCCAGAAACTTTTTGTTCCACAAGAACCAGCGGTTGTTGGAGCTTTTGCACGAGGAGAACTGGAAGGACCGAGAGGTCAGTGGTGTCCAAAGGGGGGAAAAGAGGGAAAAATGCAGCCCACAGGATCACTGTCCCTGCACCTCCTGGGAATCCCATCTCCATTCCCATCCCATCTCCATCCCCAGCCCTGCCCAGGGATGTCAGAACAGGGACAGCAAGAAAATCCCTGGACACCAGCACAGCTTTGGCTTTGCAAGGAGCACCAGGATTATAGGGGAACACCAGGATTTTACAGGAACACCAGGATTTAGGGGAACGCCAGGATTTCAGGGACACCCTGTCCCCTCTGGGATGCCTGGACCACCCCCCTGGTCCCTCTGTGACAGCAGCTCCTCCCCAGCACAGCCTTTCCTGGGATTTGTGTTCCCCACCTCCTCTCTCCCTCAGCCCGGGGGGGTTCCAGGTGTGTCCCCCCTTTCCCAGAGGGATCGTGACTTACATCCACGGCCTGCTCCCTGCGCAGGACCCTCCTGGGCTCCCTGCCATGGTGGTTCAGCTCCGGGTCACAGTTTTGGGGGCCGGGGGAGGAGTTTTCCGCTTGGTTCTTCTCGGCGGGGCCGCTCCCCTCGGTGTCCACCACGTCCAGCTCCTTCTCCAGCTCCTCCATCTCCTCCGGGGACAGCGTGGACAGCAGGTTGTCGATGTCCGGGTCCTCGCTGACCTGGCGCCGGTACTTGGCCACCTTGGACATCTTGGCCCTCTGGCGAGACACGGTGGCGGTTTTGGGGTTCCCAAGGCAGGAGAGAAAAAATCAGAAGCCGAAGCTCCCGAAGCTGCTTCCCGGGGGGCAGCAGGTGCTCAAGTGTTAAATCCCGGCGGCTCTCCTTGGTTTTCCAGAGGGGACAACCCGGGGCTGGCCAATGCCGGGGTCCGGCGGCGGTTCGGGAGCCGGGAAGCCAATGGAGCGGGCGGGAGGCGGGGAAGGGGGGAGCGGGGGAGCCTGAAACCCGAGGACATTCCAGGGAAGCGGCCAGAGCCGCATGCCCAAATTTAGTGCGGAGCATTTCGCCTTTTAAAGGCAATGGGCCAACCCGGGGGAAAACAGGGAAAAACGCGCCGCGGGCAGGAGCAGGATGGGGGGAGCAGCCCGCGCCAGGGGGGCTTCCAAAGCGGGGAGGGTGGCTACCGAGTGCTGGGGACATGCTCTGCTGGGACAGGGACAGCTCCTGCCGGGACGGGACACGGAGCAGCCGCTCCAGAGCGAGTTTTCCTCTCTATCCCTCTGTGCCACTAACACACAGATTTTTGGGAATGAGGGGGAGGTGGTGATGCTGGGGCAGACTGGTTTTCTTGGGAAGGATGGAGGCACTGGAAGCGAGTGCTCCTGCTGGATCTGACCCTGACACCATCCCTGGGCTGGGCTTTACCAGAGCTCCTGCAATTCCCAAACCTCTGCTGGATCTGACCCTGGAACCATCACTTGGTTTGTATTTTATCAGAGCTCCTGCAATTCCCAAAGCTCTGCAGGATCTGACCTGACACCATTCCTGGGCTGATTTATCAGAGCTCCTGCAATCCCCAAACCTTTGCAGGGTCTGACCTGACACCATCCCTGGGCTGGGCTCCATCAGAGCTCCTGCAATTCCCAAAGCTCTGCAGGGCTGCTCCTGCAGCTCCCCTTCCTCCCATCCTGCCCTTGCCAAGCCTCAAGACCTCCCTCCTTCTGCACAGCCCCAATTCCTGCTCCTGCTCTAGGCAGTGCCCTCAGCCTGGGCTTTGCCCTGTGGCACCGACTTTCCATCTCCCTAATCCATAGGGAAGCTCCCCCGACCCTGGGAGTTCTCCCAGACTCTGAGTTTTCAGGCAGCTTTTCCACCATCCACTATCCTGCCATTTCATCCCTGTTTCCTTCATCCTTTATCACTCTCCTGAGGTTTCTTGCTCCCAGGCCTCTCCCTGCTCATCCAGGTAAGGAGCCCTTTGGTCTTCCTGGGTAAAAAAGCTCTCCTAAGATTTTCCTGCCCCTCTCTGCCCGTGTCCCTGTCCCAGATCCCCCCCTGAGCACAGTCAGTGAGGGCTCCAAGTGATTCTCCAACCCAGACATTCCCCATCCGGACTGGAAATGCAGATTCCCGGTGCATTCCAGGCTTTTCTTTATCTCCAGCCATGGCTCCTGCTCATTCCCTTCCTGTGATTCACCAGCAGGGCTGAGATTTTTTCCAGATTGGAGAAGGAACTGTTGGCTCTGGTTTCCAAGTGCACAACCCTAAACATTGTCCTCTTGGATCCCATCCCACCTCATCCCAGCGTTCCTGTCTCCCTGATCCCACAACCCTCATCTTGGAGCTCATTTGCATCAGGAGGGACAAGGCCAGTCCCTTCCCCTTCTGGTCCCATGGAGTCCTGGTTTGGGTTGGAGGGACCTCAAAGCTCATCCAGTCCCAGCCCTGCCATGGGCAGGGACACCTCCCACTATCCCGGGCTGCTCCAACTTTATCCAACCTGGCCTTGGACACTTCCAGGGATGGGGCATCCTCTGGGAAACTGATTCCAGAGCCTCCCCACCCTCCCAGGGAAGAATTCCTTCCCAATATCCCATCTGACCCTCCCTGTGGCAGTGGGAAGCCATTCCCTGTGTCCTGGCACAGTTCCCGATGGAGAGTCCCTGACCAGCTCCCTTGGCTCTTCTCCCCTGACCCTTCAATGGCTGTGCCGGGGCTGAGGGCAGTGGAACCCCCAGGAATGGGACATTTGGGGGCCGTCTGGTGCCTTCTTTGCTGGAAGGAGCCAAAGGAGTGTCCAAACCCCCCGCCCCGGAGCTCTCTGTGGTCCTGCCCGGTCCCTTCCCAGCACATACGGAAAGTCTGGGAGAGAACCTGGACTTACAGGTGCTGGGATGGACAAGGGCTGCAGCAAGGAATCACCTCCCTGAGGAGGGCTGGGCCAGTGTGGGAACTCTTGGAGAGTCATGGAATTATTGAGGCTGGAAACCTCCCCCCAAGACCACTGAGCCCAACCATCAACCCACCCCCAGCACTAAAACTGTCCCCAAGTGCCACAGCACACATTTTTTTGGACACTCCCAGGGATGGGGACTCCAAACCCCCCTGGGCAGCCCCTTCCAATGCCTGAGCGCCCTTTCCATGCTGGAATTTCCCCAATATCCACCTGACCCTCCCTGGCTCAGCCTGAGGCCGTTCCCTGGCTCCTCCTGTCCCTTGTTCCCTGGGAGCAGAGCCCAACCCTGCCCCCGGCTCCCCTCTCCTGTCAGGGAATTTCAGAGGGAGAAGGTCCCCCCTGAGTCTTCTTTTCCCAGGCTGAGCCCCCCCAGATCCCTCAGGGCTTCTCCAGCCCCTTCCCAGCTCCCTCAGTTCTTCTGCTGCTCCAGCCCCTTCCCCAGCTCCATCCCCTTCCCTGGACATGCTCCAGGCCCCCAGTGTCTCGTGAGGGGCCCAGAAGTGCCCCCGGGGTGGAGGTGTGACTCCAGCAGTGCCCAGCACTGGGAGTGAAGTCCCAGCACTTTCAGGAGAGTGGGAAGAGCTGCTCCCAAGGCTCCAGCGCTGGGAGAGGCCAAGATTTCCCACTTTTCCCATCTCCCCTCTGTGGCCAAGGCAGAAGCCAGAACAGCATTTCCTGGTAACCCCAAAAATTACGTCACCCCCTGCCCCCACCTTAAATCAGGCCAAACATACCCCACCAGGGGCTGGGATGGAATTCCCAGAGAAGCTGTGGCTGCCCCAAACCTGGAAGTGTCCAAGACCAGGTTGGAGCAGCCTGGGATAGTGTGAGGTGTCCCTGCCCAGGGCAGGGTGGGACTGGGTAGGCTTTGAGGTCCCTCCAAGCCAAACCATTCCAGGATTCCATTATCTGAGCACTTCTGCAGCTTTGGGAGCTCCCTGGAGGCTGCTGGACATATCCAAAGGGTTTGGAATGTACCCTTTCTGTTTTCATTTTGCTCCTGAAGAAATCTTAGGAGGTGCAGACACACCCTATAAGAATGGAATATTCAACCTGGAAATCATCGTTCCTGAGAGGTAAATGGGCAGCAGCATCTAGCTTGGATTAATTGGGATGAAATCCTTTCCTAGGAGGGTGGGGAGGGGCTGGGATGGAATTCCCAGAGGCTGCGCCATCCCTGGAAGTGTCCAAGGCCAGGCTGGACAAACTTGGAGCAACCTGGGCTAGTGGGAGGTGTCCCTGCCCATGGCAGGGCTGGGACTGGATGGGGTTTAAAGTCCCTCCCAACCCAAACCAGCCTGGAATTCTCTGACAGAGATATTTAGGATTTTCCACAGCCAAGCATTCCCACAGTTACCAACTGTGAGGGACTGGGACGGAATTCCCAGAGGCTGCCCCATCCCTGGAAGTGCCCAAGGCCAGGCTGGACAAACCTGGACGGGCGGGAGGTGTCGGTGCCCGAGGCAGGGCCGGGATCCCATCCCCTCCCCCCGCCCTCCCCTCACGCCGCCATTTCAGGGCCTGTCAATCAACGCTCAGGCCCCTCCCCTCGGTCCCGCCCCGCGCTCTCCATTGGGCGGCGCTGGGCGGGCTCAGCCAATGGCGCGCGGGGAGGCGGCGGGGCCGGGGCAAGATGGAGGAGTACGCGAGGGAGCCCTGGTGAGGAGCGGGGGGGAGCGGACCGGGCCCGGGATCGGACCTGGGACCAGGATTGGGATCACGAGCGAGCCCAGGAGTGGGATCGGGCCCGGGAAGGGGCGGGAGCCACTCGCTGTGCTGGGGGCGGGTGTGACCTTGGCGGGGCCCCCTGAGGGAGGCAGCGGCGGCCGCGGGTCCCGGGCAGGTCGGAGCCCGTCTGTGCCGAGCCCCGCGGAGCCGCCGGAGCTCCCGGGGGAACCGGCGGGACCCGCGGCTCGAGCGGCTCAGGGGCCTGTGGGGGCCGCAAAGGGCGTTGCTTTGGGCCCTGCGCCCTCCCCCGGCCCCGGCACCGCCCCCGGCCTGCCCGCGGCCGCCTCTCGTGCTCGGTGCCCTCCTCATCCTCAGCCCCTTCATCCACAGCCTCCTCAGCCTCCCCTAAGTCTTCTTTCGTCCTCGGCCCGCTCATCCTCAGTCTCCCCAACCTCTTCCTCGTCCTCATTGCCCCCCTCAGCCTCAGCCCCCCCATCCACAGCACTGCTTCATCCTCAGCCTCCCCTCATCCCCCAGCTCCCCCAGCCGCTCCCAGCCCCCCTGAGCCCCCCAGCCCTCCCTGGCAGTTCGGTGCTGTCCCTGTGGACTTCCACAGCCACATCAGTGGCAGCTCAGAGGTTTTATTTGCAGCAATAAAAGGTTTAAATGCAAACTCGGGCTCAGGGTTGCAGAGTCCTGAGCAGCTTTATCAGCATGGGAAGGGACCTGGGACAAGGGGTGGAGGGACAGGACAAGAGGAATGTCTTCCCACTGCCAGAGGGAGGGTTAGATGGGATATTGGGAAGGAATCCTTCCCTGGGAGGGGCTGGGATGGAATTCCCAGGGAAGCTGTGGCTGTCCCATGCCTGGAAGTGTCCAAGGCCAGGTCGGAGCAGCCTGGGATGGTGGGAGATGTCCCTGCCCATGGCAGGGGGTGGCACTGGATGGGATTTAAGGTCCCTTCCCACCCAAACCATCCTGGAATTCCATGGTTGCGCTCAGCTCTGCAAACAGAGACCTGAGGCTGTTCCTGAGGCTTTTCCCAAACTTTGCCAGTCACTCTGTTACCACGTGTTAACTTTCTCCATGAGAGTCAACCCTGGCTTTTCCACAGCACAAATTCTGGGACACGAGCAAAATAAATTGTGTTTATTGATAGTTTGCCGTGGGCTCCAGCTAATCCCAGAATCCCGAGGTTGGAAAAGCCCTCCCAGCCCATCGAGTCCGAGCTGCGCCCGATCCCAGCCCAGAGCACTGAGTGCCACATCCTTGGACACCTCCAGGGAGGGGGACTCCAAACTTCCCTGGGCAGCCCATTCCAGTGCCTGACCACTTTTTCCATGAGGAAATTCCTCCTGATGTCCATCCTGAGCTTCCCCTGGCATGGGCTGAGGCTTCTCCCTTACCCTGTTGCTGTGTGGGGCTGTCGAGGTCCCCTGTGTCCTGGCCCTTTATCCAACCCCAGCAGCTGCTCTGCCTGGGCTCAGGCTGCTTCTCTGGGGAGAAAAGGCCCCTTTGTTTATCTAGACTCCAATCCCAGTGGTTTTCCAGCTCTTTGGAGAGCTGCAGGATTCCCTGGGGCTTGGAGGGATAAGTGGAGTCCTGGCCTCTGCCCTGCTGTCTCTGAGCAATCCCTGGTGCTGTGAGGAGCAGGAACCTGACCTCATCTCCCACATCCCTTCCCTGCAGAGTCAGGGGAACAATTCTCTGTAACATTAGGCTTGGAGAGAAGTGGTAAATTAATAATGGAATAATCTCTTTTCCTCTCCTCTGCTCCTTCAGCAGGTCAGGCAGTGCTCGGGCTTGGCAGGGCTGTGGGTCAGCCCTGAGGGAAGGGGACTGTGCTGGCATCAAAGAGGGGCTCTCTCCTTTAAAAGCTGCTCAGGCTTGGGGAGGAGTTTAAGATGAAAATGAAGAACCCAAAAGGCAACAGCTAATGAGGTTAAAGAGTGGAGGGGAGCCTTCCATGATTGGGGGCTCGTTAATGAGGCTGTGATTTGGTTAATTGGAATGCCTTGACTTTGTGGGTAAGAGAAGCCCACTCCACATAATCCATTTAGATTTCCAAAAGGTTTTTTAAGGAGATCACTGAGTTAAGGAAGGGGGAGAGTTGGGGTGAGATGTTTTATTCATAACAGAGGAGATCAAAACCTGCACTGGGAGACCTGAGAACAAAACAGCAGAAAATCCCTGGGAAGGAACACTTGAGTTGCTTTTTATCTTGCCATCTCTGACAGCAGTGTGCCTGGAACCTTTTCCTGGGCATTAAGAGCAGGAAGGAGAGGAAGGAAAATAAACTGAATTATTGAATTTGGTCAGGGGTGGAGGGGGTCGTGAGGAGGTGAGATGGGATGAGAGCAGGGCACAGAAACAGAATGGGAGGAAGGATAAAATCCATGGGGTGGGGATGGGATCTGGATGGGGGTGGCACTGGGGACAAGCCAGGGTGCCCAAGCCAAGTGTCCCCTGTGCCCACAGGAGTGCCCTGGGTCAGGGGTGCAGGGAGGGAGAGATCCCAAAGTAAGTCATGGGCAGGAGGAGGGACTGCAAATCAGAGGGTGTTTGCAGGGAAAAAACACCCTGGGACAAAGTCTGCAGGACGGGGGGCTGGGACAGAGGAGAGGTTTGTCACTGCTCAGCCCTTCCTTGGCCTCAGCCCCTCCTCATCCACAGCCTTCCCTCATCCAGGGACTCCCGTCATCCTCAGTTCCCCCCCATCCTCAGCCCCCTCCTCATCCTCACCCCCTCCTCGCTGGGTGCTCTGGAGGAGGGTTGGGGTCCGTGTCCCCACAGGCAGGAGCTGTGGGGATCCTCAGGGACACCCCCATTCCCAGAGAAACCAGAAATCCCTGATCCTGCCATGGGGGTCACCTTTGGGACCCTGACTGGTGTTGGAGCTGAGTTTTCCTGCAGTTCCTGACTCTTGGCAGTGCAGGAGTTAAATCCCCTGTGCTGGGCTGGAACATTTGGCTGCAGGATGAAAAAAACCCCAAGGAGTTTGTTATTTTGTGCTCTGGGATCACCCAGGGACAACAGGGGTTATTGGCAGCTTAGGCCTGGCCTAGTGTAGGAACTGGGTTTAGTGTCACAAGGCTCCAGTGCTGGGCAGAGATTCTGAGCCCCAAAGTGAGACTCACCTGCCAGGGCTGACGGTGTTCCCAGCAGGAAGGGGCTCCTGCGCAGGATTCTGGAGCAGGAGTTGTGGCTGCTGCTCCTCTGGGAGCTGTGTTTGGTGGGAATGGACTTCAAGGATCCAGGATGCACCAGGAAAAACCGTCCCAGCCTAACAAAGCTGGCTTGGAAGTCTCAGTTAAATAAGCAGAGCTGATGAGAAGTGTGAGGGATTCAGGAAAAGGGAATCTCAGGGAATTTGGCCCTTCAGTTTTCCATAGAACTGGACAAGAGTGGGATCAGGGAATGTGATGGACGTAGGGCAGAGCTGGAATTCTGCACTTTTCTATGATGGAAATATGTCTCTGTCTTCTGTGGGCAGTGGGGGAAAGTTCAGGAGTGTGGGAAATTCTGGATATTGGATCCTTCCTGCTCCAGGGACGTTGGGAGGGGGGATGAAATGGCAAAGTTGGGTTGGTTTGCTGCAGTATTCCCTGGGTTTTGTTGGATGTGGGACAGTATTTGCTGCAGTATTCCCTAGGTTCTGTTGGAATTGGGGCGGATCTCCACCCCAGTCCCGGCAGGGCCTGGGCGCTGCCCTGTCCCAGCCCTTTCCCAGGCTGGCATTCCCCATTCCCAGGCTGGCATTCCCCATTCCCACCCCGTTGTTCCCGCAGTCCCTGGAGGATCGTGGATGACTGCGGAGGGGCCTTCACCATGGGGGCCATCGGAGGGGGGATCTTCCAGGCCATCAAGGGCTTCCGGAATTCTCCAGTGGTGAGTGAAGTCCTGCCCTTCCCAGGGAATGTGGGAGCCAAGGGGAAGGAGGAACATCAGGGGATGGGGCTGATCCATGACCGTAATCCAGGCCAGGAGGGGGCTGTCCCAGCTCGGGGTCCCATCTCCTGGCTCAGAGCTCTGCCTCCCCTGGAGAATTCCTTAGTTACCCTTATTCAGTCAGGACCAGTTTTGGTACCATTTTAACTTGTTTTATTTAATCCTTACCATTTTATTATCTTTTTTTAAATCCTTACCATTTTTTTACCATTTTTATTTAATCCTTACCATTTTTGTTACCATTTCATTAACAATTTTTATTTAATCCTTACCATTTTATCACAATTTTTAATTTAATTGTTACCATTTTATTACCATTTTTTATTTAATCCTTACCATTTTTGTTCCCATTTCATTAACAATCCTTTAAATCCCATGGAAATGGGGGGAAATGTGTTCAACTGTAACTCTGGCACATTTGGTGCTGGGCTCTGCAAGGCTCAGCTCCGGGTTTAAAGCTCAGGAACAAGAACTGAATATCCCAACTGAACGCCTGAGTTTGGGACAGGTGGTTGGATTGCTGGGAAAACGGGAATGGGGAACAAAACCGAAGACATGAATAAAAAACCAATGAAAGAGGTGGAAAAACAAGAGCCAAAAATGTGGTTTAATGTGGTTTTACTGCCCCTTCTGGTCCCCACCTGGGCTCCGGATCCTCCCCGGAGCCTGGAATTGCTGCCTGTGCCTGCCGGGAATGTGGGATTGCACAGATAACTGGGAATGGGTTGGGACCTCCCGGGTTTACTGGGGTGTTTCTCTCTCGCAGGGCGTGAGCCACCGGCTGAGGGGCAGCCTGACCGCCGTCAGGACCAGGGCACCGCAGCTCGGGGGTAATTAGTGAAGGGGTTAATTGGCAGTGCACTGGAATACCTGAGTTCGGGAACTGGAG